CACAGCACCCTCACACACACACTGCACCCCTGACACTCACAGCAAACACACTGCACCCCTGGCACTCACAGCACCCTCACACACACTGCACCCCTGACACGCACAGCACACACACTGCACCCCTGACACTCACAGCACCCTCACACACACTGCATCCCTGACACGCACATCACACACACACTGCACCCCTGACACTCACAGCACCCTCACTCACACACACTGCACCCCTGACACTCACAGCTTCCTCACATGCATACACTGCACCGTCACAAACAGCTTCCTCACATGCACATAGCACCCTCATGCAAACACAGCACCCACTCACACACAGCACACACACGCACACCGGGGACAGCTATTTATCCTATGGGACCAGACCGTCTTAACCAGCACATAAACTGTATGCCACAGCATAACCTACTTTATAATGGGCAACAAACCTTTTCTTCTTTGTGGCATAATACATCATTAAAAATACCCAGGACTGCAGTGATCTCTGCATTACGATGGTCAAATAAAATTATGTACAAACTACAGTAACAAAATACATACTGTTGTGAATATCTTTCAATGGTTTTGCACTCATGTAATGAGAGCTTTTGCTCCTGGCGCTGGTATATACATCGGTTTGAATAGCCTTTGGTAAAACCTGACCAGTTTAATGAGACATTGACATTGTCACTTATATCAGTGATAATTATTTCATTTATTAAAACTGCTTAAAACCAAATAGTGAAGTTTCTGGGAACCCCACAAACAATTAAAAGGACATTGCTGCCTTCTCCTCTGAACTCATAGACACAATTCCCCAACTATGATTTAGTTTTTCTCAAAGTACATCAAGTGCCCGGGTCTCTCCTTCTAAATGTCCCTCTCATTTCGGCCAGTCAAGTCCTTTCCATAATATAATATCATGCGTTATTGTGGGTTTCCATAAATACCACTGATAGACAAATTTACTTGTCATACATACAGGTCCTCCTATAAAACTTACACGGACAAAGAAAACAGCCAGACAGGGGGTAAATAGGAAAGGTGGATGGTCATTATCATTTAATGTCAATTTAAGTAGGGGGAGTTCACGCAGGGGGCTACTAGGTTCCAGAAACCTTGATCTCAAAGGAAAACTCATTGACCCCCTACACTGACAGAGGAAATAAGTAATGACATATTACAGCCTTTCCATGATATGGCCTCTCCTTTCTAACATAAACAGCATGTAGATGGTCTCCAGGATCTCAAAGAAAACCTGGGCAGCAAAGTACTTTTCCCCAGCAATCCCTCACTCTAATTAACCTGGGGAAACACTCCATCACTCTAATTAACCTGGTGAAGCACTCCCTCACTCTAATTAACATGGGGAAGCACTCCCTCACTCTAATTAACCTGGGGAAGCACTCCCTCACTCTAATTAACCTGATGAAGCACTCCCTCACTCTAATTAACCTGGAAAGCACTCCCTCACTCTAATTAACCTGGGGAAGCACTCCCTCACTCTAATTAACCTGGGGAAGCACTCCCTCACTCTAATTAACCTGGGGAAGCACTCCCTCACTCTAATTAACCTGGTGAAGCACTCCCTCACTCTAATTAACCTGGGGAAGCACTCCCTCACTCTAATTAACCTGGGGAAGCACTCCCTCACTCTAATTAACCTGGGGAAGCACTCCCTCACTCTAATTAACCTGGGGAAGCACTCCCTCATTCTAATTAACCTGGGGAAGCACTCCATCACTCTAATTAACCTGGGGAAGCACTCCCTCACTCTAATTAACCTGGTGAAGCACTCCCTCATTCTAATTAACCTGGGGAAGCACTCCCTCACTCTAATTAACCTGGGGAAGCACTCCCTCACTCTAATTAACCTGGGGAAGCACTCCCTCACTCTAATTAACCTGGGGAAGCACTCCCTCACTCTAATTAACCTGGGGAAGCACTCCCTCACTCTAATTAACCTGGTGAAGCACTCATCACTCTAATTAACCTGGGGAAGCACTCCCTCACTCTAATTAACCTGGGGAAGCACTCCCTCACTCTAATTAACCTGGGGAAGCACTCCCTCACTCTAATTAACCTGGGGAAGCACTCCCTCACTCTAATTAACCTGGTGAAGCACTCCCTCATTCTAATTAACCTGGGGAAGCACTCCCTCACTCTAATTAAATGGAAGCACTCCCTCACTCTAATTAACCTGGGGAAGCACTCCCTCACTCTAATTAACCTGGGGAAGCACTCCCTCACTCTAATTAACCTGGGGAAGCACTCCCTCACTCTAATTAACCTGGTGAAGCACTCCCTCACTCTAATTAACCTGGGGAAGCACTCCCTCACTCTAATTAACCTGGGGAAGCACTCCCTCATTCTAATTAACCTGGGGAAGCACTCCATCACTCTAATTAACCTGGGGAAGCACTCCCTCACTCTAATTAACCTGGTGAAGCACTCCCTCATTCTAATTAACCTGGGGAAGCACTCCCTCACTCTAATTCATCTGGAGCAGTCCTCCCTCACTCTAATTAACCTGGTGAAGCACTCCTTCACTCTAATTAACCTGGGGAAGCACTCCCTCACTCTAATTAACCTGGGGAAGCACTCCCTCACTCTAATTAACCTGGTGAAGCACTCCCTCATTCTAATTAACCTGGGGAAGCACTCCCTCACTCTAATTAACCTGGGGAAGCACTCCATCACTCTAATTAACCTGGGGAAGCACTCCCTCACTCTAATTAACCTGGGGAAGCACTCCCTCACTCTAATTAACCTGGTGAAGCACTCCCTCATTCTAATTAATCTGGGGAAGCACTCCATCACTCTAATTAACCTGGGGAAGCACTCCCTCACTCTAATTAACCTGGTGAAGCACTCCCTCATTCTAATTAACCTGGGGAAGCACTCCCTCACTCTAATTAACCTGGGGAAGCACCCCCTCACTCTAATTAACCTGGAAAGCACTCCCTCACTCTAATTCTCCTAGGGAAGCACTCCCTCACTCTAATTCTCCTAGGGAAGCACTCCCTCACTCTAATTCATCTGGGGAAGCACTCCCTTGCACTATTTAACCTGGGAAATCACTCCCTCACTCTAATAAACCCGAGGGAGCACTCCCTCACTCTAATTCATCTGGGGAAGCACTCCCTTGCACTATTTAACCTGGGAAATCACTCCCTCACTCTAATTAACCTGAGGGAGCACTCCCTCACTCTAATTCACCTTGGGAAGCACTGTATTATTGATATTTGTTGTATAATAGGGCTGCTTTGAAAAAATTATCACCTGATGAGAAATGTAAAATAAAAAGTACTAATATCCTCCTACTCCCTCCACCAATTGTAGAGATCCTGGACTTTAGCCCCAAAAGCAACGTGCCCCTTCCCGCTAGTAACACCTATGAACACATGTCATTTTTAATTATGAATGGATTATGTTTACAATTTAAATTATGCATTTTAATATCTCACTTGTGATCTCTTCAGAAATTCAAAATGCACTAAAAATGTTAGATGTGTGTGATCATGGACTTAACATCTCCATGGCAGATACAAAGTTTGAATTCCTAATGTTTTCTCTGATGTTGAATGGCAGGCATGCTATTTAAATACAAAGAACGAGTGATGGTATCTTGGCACACATGGACGCTCGCCACGAAGAAGACTGGCAGGCTTTAATGAATAAAATAAGAAATGGTTTTTAAGGGGAAAGGGCCACATCCATCAATGGAATAATTGATTGTGTCCAATAAAGCACTACTCTATCCCTGACATCAGCACAATATCCCTGAAGAAAGCAAGTTTAAACAATAAAGTTTTTTCCCTGGCACTATAGCTTTCCCCTGCCTGGGACTCTCTCCTTTTCCATTGTGCAAAACGGGTTAAAAAACCCTTCTGTCACTTACCTCAGTTCAGTGCCAATGCCCCTTGGTGCTGGCTCGGTTCCGCCTTCACTCCTCCCCCACAGATGTCAGCCTGCGGCATAGAACTAATGCCCATGCGTGGAAATGGCCATGCTCGCATTAGGATTTTCCCATAGGAAAGCAATATACAATGATTTCCTATGAGGTTTTGAGTGACGCTGGACGGGACGTCCAGCATCACTCAAAACCTCATAGGAAATCATTGTATATTGCTTTCCTATGGGAAAATCCTAATGCGAGCATGGCCATTTCCACGCCTGGGCATTAGTCCACTCCATCCCAGGTCTTTATTTATTATAAACTGCAATAATTAATTAGCTTGGTGGCTTTACTCCACCTCTAATGGCTGTCTACCAGAGAGCCACTAAAGGAACTTCCAGGCCATTAGGTGACTTCCAGGCCATTAGGGACTATGTATAGCGTGAGGATGTGCAGCATCAGTTAGATGAAAAGTCACCTAATGGCCTGGAAGTTCCTTTAGTGGCTCTCTGGTAGACAGCCATTAGAGGTGGAGTAAAGCCACCAAGCTAATTAATTATTGCAGTTTATAATAAATAAAGACCTGGGATGGAGTGGACTAATGGACTGGGTGCCTATAGTATCCCTTAGAGGTTGAAAACTTGTATATCAATGCACACTGGTCTTGTCTGGTCTACTATTGAAGAAGAAACTATAATTCCATATGATTTTTCTTTATATATTTTTTTACTTACTCTATATTTAACAGATATGTATTTTGTTATAAACTCCACCCTTTACACCTGGCAGTCAGAATAGAGAGAGCCACCTCCATCTTAGCTCCCTGTCAGTCATTGTTATAAGCTCCACCCTTTACATCTGGCAGTCAGCATAGAGAGAGCCACCTCCATCTTAGCTCCCTGTCAATCATTGTTATAAGCCCCGCCCTTTACACCTGGCAGTCAGTATAGAGAGAGCCACATCCATATTAGCTCCCTGTCAGTCATTGTTATAAGCTCCGCCCATTACACCTGGCAGTCAGTATAGAGAGAGCCACCTCCATTTTAGCTCCCTGTCAGTCATTGTTATAAGCTCCGCCCTTTACATCTGGCAGTCAGCATAGAGAGAGCCACCTCCATCTTAGCTCCCTGTCAATCATTGTTATAAGCTCCGCCCTTTACACCTGGCAGTCAGTATAGAGAGGGCCACCTCCATCTTAGCTCCCTGTCAGTCATTGTTATAAGCTCCGCCCTTTACACCTGGCAGTCAGTATAGAGAGAGCCACCTCCATCTTAGCTCCCTGTCAATCATTGTTATAAGCTCTGCCCTTTACACCTGGCAGTCAGCATAGAGAGAGCCACCTCCATCTTAGCTCCCTGTCAATCATTGTTATAAGCTCTGCCCTTTACACCTGGCAGTCAGTATAGAGAGAGCCACCTCCATCTTAGCTCCCTGTCAATCATTGTTATAAGCTCCGCCCTCCATCTTAGCTCACCAGTCATTGTTATAAGCAGGCAGTCAGTATAGAGAGAGCCGCCTCCATCTTAGCTCCCTGTCAATCATTGTTATAAGCTCCGCCCTTTACACCTGGCAGTCAGTATAGAGAGAGCCGCCTCCATCTTAGCTCCCTGTCAATCATTGTTATAAGCTCCGCCCATTTACACCTGGCAGTCAGTATAGAGAGAGCCACCTCCATCTTAGCTCCCTGTCAATCATTGTTATAAGCTCCGCCCTTTACACCTGGCAGTCAGTATAGAGAGAGCCACCTCCATCTTAGCTCCCTGTCAATCATTGTTATAAGCTCCGCCATTTACACCTGGAAGTCAGTATAGAGAGCCACCTCCATCTTAGCTCACTTTCAGTCATTGTTATAAGCACCACCCTTTACACCTGGCAGTCAGTATAGAGAGAGCCGCCTCCATCTTAGCTCCCTGTCAATCATTGTTATAAGCTCCGCCCTTTACACCTGGCAGTCAGTATAGAGAGAGCCACCTCCATCTTAGCTCCCTGTCAATCATTGTTATAAGCTCCGCCCTTTACACCTGGCAGTCAGTATAGAGAGAGCCACCTCCATCTTAGCTCCCTGTCAGTCATTGTTATAAGCTCCGCCCTTTACACCTGGCAGTCCGCATAGAGAGAGCCACCTCCATCTTAGCTCCCTGTCAGTCATTGTTATAAGCTCCGCCCTTTACACCTGGCAGTCAGTATAGAGAGAGCCACCTCCATCTTTGCTCCCTGTCAATCGTTGTTATAAGCTCCGCCCTTTACACCTGGCAGTCCGCATAGAGAGAGCCACCTCTATCTTAGCTCCCTGTCAATCATTGTTATAAGCACCACCCTTTACACCTGGCAGTCAGCATAGAGAGCGCCACCTCCATCTTAGCTCCCTGTCAATCATTGTTATAAGCTCCGCCCTTTACATCTGGCAGTCAGTATAGAGAGAGCCACCTCCATCTTAACTCCCTGTCAATCATTGTTTAAAGCTCCGCCCTTTACACCTGGCAGTCAGTATAGAGAGAGCCACCTCCATCTTAGCTCCCTGTCAGTCATTGTTATAAGCTTCGCCCTTTACACCTGGCAGTCAATATAGATCGAGCCACCTCCATCTTAGCTCCCTGTCAATCATTGTTATAAGCTCCGCCCTTTACACCTGGCAGTCAGTATAGAGAGAGCCGCCTCCATCTTAGCTCCCTGTCAATCATTGTTATAAGCCCCGCCCTTTACACCTGGCAGTCAGTATAGAGAGAGCCGCCTCCATCTTAGCTCCCAGTCAGTCATTGTTATAAGCCCCGCCCTTTACACCTGGCTGTCAGTATAGAGAGAGCCACCTCCATCTTAGCTCCCTGTCAATCATTGTTATAAGCTCCGCCCTTTACACCTGGCAGTCTGCACAGAGAGAGCCACCTCTATCTTAGCTCCCTGTCAATCATTGTTATAAGCTCCGTGTTATGCATTGGGGTTTCTGCAGTCCACCTTCCAGTAGACAGCAGCATAGTGAAGTTATGCACTTGTTCTGTTGTGTTAGTCTCTCTTGTGTTATTTATGTGTATGTACTGAAGTAAAGAGAAGTTCTATTTTACTACAATGTCTATTGTAGTAAAGTGCACTTTACACCTGGCCTATTTTCTGAATAAAATCTTCCCCTCTCCAATGGCTTTTTACCTTTTCAATATCTATGAATTCCAACCCCTTTGGGTCTACATTATGGTGGTCACTAAAATGCAGCGAGACCTGGTGGAGTGTGAACCTCCTTTTTATGTTGTACACATGCTCACACACCCTGGTTCTCAAAGGTCGAGTGGTACGCCCTATGTACCTAAGGCCGCAAGGGCATGTGAGCATATACACAACATTTCGGGAGCTACAAGTCATACCATCTCTAATTGTGTAACCTTGTCCATTCTCTTCCATTTTCTTGTAGCAATGCTTCTTGTTACCAGTTTTTTTCACAAGCATTGCAATTGCCGCACCTAAAAAACCCTTGGTGCATATTTTAAAAATTATTTTTTAAGTTGGTACCTGGGGCTTCTAAGATGCCGTCTGTTAAAATTAGTTTCAGATTGGGTACCCCTCTATGGACTATCCTCGGATTTGGAGGTAAAATATTCCTCAAAATTGGGTCCAAAATTGGAGTATATGCCAATAGTTCTTAATAATACTTCTCACTTTATTATTTTGGCTCCCAGAAAACTGAAAAAAATAAACGGCACGTTATTATTAAGTTCCTTATTTCTCAGTTTGTACGTTAATAATTCTGCTCTTTCTTTAGAAAGTGTGTCGAATATGGCCCCTTCCAAGATATCATCTTTATACCCTCAATCTTTAAAATCCTGAATCAATTTTTTACTTTGTTCAATGAACATGCTCGTTTCTGTACAGTTTCTCTTTATTCTAAAAAGTTGGCTTTTGGGTATGTTGCTGAGCCATGGACTGTAGTGACAGCTACTGATGTTGATGTAGCTGTTCACATCTACAGTCTTGAAGAAAGTTTTAGTTTTCAAAAGGTTGTACCCAGTGGCGTACTAAGGGGGGGGCGGGGGGGGCGGTCCGCCCCGGGTGCCACCAGGGTGGGGGGTGCCATGACCAGCCCCCCCCATGCTGCAGCCGCCCGAGCGCTCTGTAGAGAGCCTCAGGCGGCTGCAGCTTTGCCCGGGCGGTGCGTCCATGAGGGCGGACCGCACCGCCCGGGCGCAGCAAGGGGAGAGGGGCTGACAGGATGGAGCACTCAGCGCTCCCTCCTGTCAGCTTCCTTTGCTGTAGCGTGGCCGAGCCCTGCCTCATGATGGTCCGACGGGTACAGAGAGCAGCTGTCTCCTGTACCCGGCCGGACTAACAGTGTGCATCTCACTTCCTGTTAGTCCGGCCGGGTACAGGAGACAGCTGCCTCTGTACACGCGGACTATACTGTGCTCGGCCACGCCACAGGGAGGTGGGGGTGATGAGAAAGAAGAGAAAGGAGGGGGGGTGAGAAAGAGGAAAAGGGGGGTGAGAAATGAGGGGTGAGAAAGAGGAGAAAGGGGGGGTGAGAGAAAAGGGGGGGGTGTGAGAAAGAGGAGAAGGGGGGGTGAGAGAGAAAGGAGGGGGGTGAGAAAGGAGAAAGGGGAGGGGTGAGAAAGGAGGGGGGTGAGAAAAGAGAGAAGGAGGGGTGAGAAAGAGAAAGGAGGGGTGAAAGAGAGGAGGGGGGTGAGAGAAATTAGGAGGGGGAAGAGATATTAGGAGGGGGGGAAGATAAATTAGGGGGAGAGAAAGAGAAATTAGGAGGGGGGAGAGAAATTGAAATTAGGAGGGGGGAAGAGATATTAGGAGGGGAGAAAGAGAAATTAGGAGGGGGGGGACAGATATTAGGGGAGAAAGAGAAATTAGGGGGGGAGGGAAATTAGGAGGGGGGTGAGAAAGAGAAATTGGGAGGAGGAGAAGGAAATTGGAGCGGGAGGAGAGATTGACATTCATCACATACACCCAATGCACCCCTTGCACACAGAAAAACACACAATGCATTACACACACACAGACACACATACACAAGCAATGCAACCGTTACACACAATGCATCCCTTACACACACAGAAACACACAATGCATTCATTACACACACTCAATGCACCCCTTACACACATTCAATGCATCCCATACATACACAGAAACACACCTTGCAGCCCTTACACATACACACACAATTTCACACAATGCATTCCTTACACACATATCAGGACATCCCTTACACACTCCACCCCCTGTGAACAAACTCATTGGTGGACCCTGGGACCCAGACCTTGAGCTGTGTAAAGGGCCCCCCCAAAAATGGAGCTGCTTCCCGTTCTCCCAGAACATTGATTTTGTGACCACAGTTACAAACAGCCTCCAGAGATCCTGTTCTACACCAGACCCGTGGAGCCAGACTGCAGCTAGAGCCCATCATCATCCTCATCTGGTTGTAAGTAGGCAATCTAGTATATTATTCGTGGCACTAAGCTCTAATTTACCTCACATTAAAGAAACACTATGGTCCCCAGAACCACTGCAGCTTAATGTAGTGGTTCTGGTGTCTATAGCCTGTCCCTGCAGGCCTTTTAATGTAAACACGGCGGCACTGCAGCACTGGCGTTAGTTAACATTGCAAATCATATGGGTGGGGCATTGTGATGTAACATGGGGGGGGGGGCGGCAAACTTTACTTGTAAAAAAAAAAAGCACAGGATCCGCCTCGGGTGCCAAATGCTCTAGGTACGCCCCTGGTTGTACCTCTTCATTGCTATATGTGAAGGTCAAGTTAATGCTCCAGTCATTTGAATTAATATCATCAATAAAAAGCTGTAAGGGTTCCTCTCCACCTCTCCAAACCATAATCAGGTCATCTATATAGCGTTTATAGAGCACCAAGTTTGACCCCCAGTTGCCAGTATCTCCCATATAAATTGACTCCTACTCGGCCATAAAGAGATTGGCGTAACTGGGGGCAAACTTGGTGCCCATCGCTGTACCACATTTTTGCTATCTGCACAAATTAAACTGCTATGTAGATGCCTTGACATAATAACAACTTTTAACATGTATATTCTCTCTCTTTTTTGCTTATATGAAAATTTTAGCTATCTCTCTTTAAGGATTGGAATAACGCTAGTGGAGTTCTGAAAACTGTATGCATAAAACGTTACATTATGAGAAATCCTTTTTTTTTTATCAAATGCTTATTAATTGTTCTTTATGAATTGTTCTTTATTAATTGTTTTGCATTAATTTGTTTTGCATTATCTTGTGTATTCTTATCTTGACTTCTTCATTGTGAATTTGAATATTTACGAACTACTATTTTAATATGAGAGTGAAAATTTGTATGACACCTGTTAAGAGTGATTAAAGATGACTATGGGCTATAAAAGCCCTAACGCATGATGGCTACCACCGCTTCAAACATCCTGAGGAAGCCGGGCATCCGGTGAAACACGTAGATGATGTCACCAAAGTGGGCGGAGACAGCT